TCCATCACTTGCACATATAATTGTTTAAATGTGCAAGTGATGAGAGTCATCCGATATAGTTAAACACTTATGATTTATTTTATCTGAATTTATATTTGAATTTAGTTTTTTTTTAAAATACTACCATCACTTATATATGTGACCGCTTACATATACGATATAACAAGAATTATCAAATACAGTTCAACACCTGTGCTGCAAGATTTTCAACTCATTCCAATTTGTATTTTAAATTTAATTCAAAGCAAGTAATGAATTTGTATTCCCAAACCTTATTACTACTGTAATGCTTTTTTATTATTATTATATAAATAAATAACACTTTATTTACTAGTACATAGAAAAAAAGGGTAGCAATTTATTGTGGTAGCATGTGCGTACAGCTATATGAAAATTGAAGCTGTGGGGGTGAGGTGATTGATGACATAAAAGAGAGGGTCCATTGAATTGAAAATAGATATCCAATAAATGAAGAATAGTAGTATTAATTTCTAGGTAAATTTATTGCAAAATAGTCAAAACAAATCTTGTTAGTTGTCGAATCGATTTCTTATTTGTGTTGCTCTCTGATCTGTCAGACTGTGAAATTAGTAGTCTACTTATTCAGCAGAGAGAGAGAGAGAGAGTCTGTGTGTGTGTGTTTTTGCGAGAGAGAGAGAGAGAGTGTGTGTGTTTTTGCATGGGCCATTTAATGGACCTATGAGAGCTTAGTCCACATGGTGGGCCGCCAAATATTTAAACCAGGGCCTTTGACTTTAGAGTAGAAAAATATGATTATTTTTTGAATAATGACAGAACACTGGATAAATATCTTTGAAATAATCACGGAAAAAGAAATTTTTTTTACTAAACACTCCTCCTCTTTTAGATATAAATCAAGATTTCATTTTTCAGAAAAATTTGTAAGTAATTTGGAGATATTATAAGTCTGTCACTTTCACTTTCCGTGAACTTTGTAGGTTTGCTATTCCATTTGATAGGTTACAAAAATTTATACAAAACATTATCAAAACTATATAATAAAATAAAAATAAAAAACCCTAGTTTTTTGGATTCTACCATCATCATGTCGGTTTCATGTTTTGCCCCAATTCTTGCTTTCAAAAATTGTGAATTGTGAAAGAGAGTACTGATTGAATAGCTATTGGAGAAGAAAATTCGTTACAAAGCCTAGAGGCCAAAAGCGTGAATCTGGGATCGATGTTGTTGTGAGAATGTGTCTGTTATTTATCTTTTTAAATTTGTGAGAACTTTTAGATATATATATATATATATATATATATATATATATGTCAGATTTGTGTATTTAACCACCATATCTTTACCCTATTGCTTTTCTCTATCCACGTCAGACTCTTTAAAAGGTAAGATTCAGAGAATAAACATCTTCTATAATTTTTTTGCGTAAACTGAAGAAAAAAATAAAAGAATAAAAGACTATTTTGGAGATAAGATTCGGTTGCTCTATCACTACTCTTATTTTTTACTAGGTCAGTAAAAATTAAAAGTCTTCTAGTCCAGTGGTATATTCTTTACCTTTTAAAGTGAATAGATAAAAAATTGAGTCTCTATAATAATTTGTTTGGAGATTTTCAATGTAGATTATTTTTAAATAAGAGTGTCAAGTTCTCTAAATAAATAAATAAAATAATTTTTGTAGTATTATTTGACACATTTATTAGTCGTTGAACACTCTTAGCTAATCTTATTCTTGGGAGTGGAATACATATGAGTCTTGCATAACAATATAACAATCGTATACGGTATATACACACACATACATCAATATAGTTCTAAACGTGATCAAATAATAATTTCATAATGAAAAAGTGATAAAAATGTAAGCAATTTGTAAGAGCTCGAACGCTCGAACTCTTCAAAGGATCAAAACTTTAAATTTAAAATGGCTATGCATTAGATGGTTATTACCACCTAACCAAAAAATTTATTGTATGTATCCCAAGTGGTCAGAAATTTGTGATAAGTCTGATAAACCACATTAATGTAGTCAGTATCAGCATCAGCATCATCATTATCATATGTTTGTTTAATTAGTCAATGTATGATTACACGAGTTAAGTTAACTAAATGCTTTTAATTCGGCAATATATGTTTACACGGGTTAAGTTACAATCAGGTTGAGTTCTGAACTTGTCCTGTCAATGCACATGGCTTGTTGGGTATTGTGTATATTTAGTGACGGATTAGTCTCACCCGTAAAGTACAGAAATACCTCAATTATGAAAAAAAATATATATAAGAAAGTATAACTTTCCACTTTCTTATCTCTTGCATTAATGACCAATTAATCCTATTTAATCAAAGAATTATCACTAGCTCTAAAGGTGATCAAATAATAATTTCATAATAAAAAAGTGATAAAAATGTAAGCAATTTGTAATGGAGCAGGAAGTTTCTTTTTCCTCATTGAATTTTAACATAAATACAATATATTTGGTTTCTTTTTTTAAAAAATAATTTATTTGACACAATTTCTAAATAATTTTACTTAAAAGTTCACCTGTATTTAAATTTCACCACCAAAGACATGTGCACTTGTTGATTTGCCAATAAAGGCGACTATAGGCAATTTTAATCCAGTCCAAAATATAGACAATTTTAGTCCAGTCCAATATATATATATATAGTATTAACCCACCCAAATAAATTGAAATTAACTAAATTTATATTTAATACTATCCCACCCCATTTACAATTTCTGATCCGCCTTTGGCTGCCAATGCAGAAACAGAGCAAGCTTTTGAATTCTAGTCTCATTTTCATTACTCAAGAATGACAATTAATGATGGGTCCAGGGCTCCAAGTAAAGCAAGGCATAGTTAGAGTGCAACGGGCATCCTCTGTGTGTGTGTGTGTGTGTGTGTGTCTGCGCAAATGTATGTATATCTAGAGAAAGAAAATATGAAATTAATGAAAGACCTACAATTAACTCAAGGAAATGAAAAGACTTCCTTTTGACACGTATAACATGTTTATGCATGTATTAATAATTTAATATGAAGTAGGCTCAATCATTTTTCCAATAATGCCCCTGGTTTAGGACACTAAAAATGTGTGTTTACCAAATCTCCTAATGCACTTTAATGCTTACTACTAAATAAATCCATGTGGCTCACATTCTAGATGTTTAACTTGGAACAATTTTTTTTTTTTTGAAGTTCAAGCCAACAACCCTACCAAATATATATTTTGGCCCTCCACCAGAGCTCGAATCAACCTCTCCAAAGGATCAAAACTTCTTAATGGCTATGCATTAGATGGTTATTACCACCTAACCAAAACAATTATTGTATATATCATAAGTGGTCAGAAATTTGTGATAAGTCTAATAAACCACATTAATGCAGTCAGCATCACTGTCATCATTATCACATGCATGTTTAATTAGTCAATTTGTGTCTTCACGAGATAAGTTAATGAATGTTTTTCGTTAGTCGACGTATGTTTACACGGATTAAGTTGTAATCAGATTGAGTCCTGAATTTGTCCCATCGGTGCACATGACTTGTGAGATATTGTATGTATTTAGAGATGGATTAGTTTCACTCATAAAGTATGAAAATATATCATCTATAAAAAAATATATATACAGGAAAGTGAAACTTTTTACTCTTCACTTTCTTATCTCTTGTATTAATGACCAATCAATTATCATCAGTCAAAAAATTATCACTATTCATATCATATTTATATCATAAAAAATGATTTTAAGGTTGATGAATTAGGCAAAATTTCTTACGGTTAAAACGAAAGGCTTAAATTAGTTAATGAGGGCTGAATATAAAAAATTGGAACCCTTATTTATTTATTTTTATCTCTAACATTAATAACCAATAAAATTTATTCCACTCAACTTTTTGCCCCAAATATCAATACTCTCTCATATCATACAGAGTTCATGATATTATGGATAAATGACAAAATAAGGCCGACATGTCAGACCTACTCAACCGTAAGGTATCAAACAGTGTGATTGATTTAGCTTGAAAAGTGGGTACTTTTCATTTTGTAAGCTCGTATGAGATTGCTCTTCTTGTAAACAACTTCATTGTTGATACTAGCTAGAAAACTGAAGATTTTTTTTGGAATGCTAGAAAATTGAAGTTGCTATTACTGACTTAGAGGTATGGTTAGGGGTGGGCAATTCGTGTTCGGGGTCGATGTGCCATGTTGATTTAAAAATATTTTATTAAACAGTTCAACTCAAAAATGATCTGTTTAATAATCGTATCAAAAAAGCTGTATCAGAAAAGCTTAATATTAATCCGACCTGTTTATTAAACACATATAACCTGTTTAATGACCTGTTTAATAAAATTAAATATTTATTATTTAAATTATTAATAATACCCGATCAAATATTAAATATTAAAAAAATATAAGTTTCAATCTAAGTCACGTAAGTAGGAGCGGAAGCGAATTCGAGAACGGGAGTGTGAGAGCGACAGAATTAAGTCATAAGTAGTGAAAATTTGAACGAGAGCACGCTCGGAGCATAAGAGGGATACTTGTTAAAGAGAATTGTATGACTTAGGTTTCAATCCAACCAAATTACTAATTAATCTCTAATCTACAAAAGTATAAATTATAAGATACTAAGTTTAGATAGTTATTTTAGAACTTAAATAAAAATTTGCTTATGATACGCATAGTTAAACGGGTATAAACGAGTATACGGGTTGAACTCCTCAACCAAAACACGACACGATGAACTAAACGGATTAATCGTATAACCCATTTACAACCTGAACCCGTTTAAGATCAATTCATACCAGTTTAACTCGTGACGTGTTTGAGTTTTGTTGACGGGTCAAACTTTGCCATCCCTAATTACAGCATGAGCTTTACTAATGTGTTGGTATATGCAGTGCAACCACATTGAATACCACGCGTTTTGGTGAGACAGAAGAGGCAAACACACACACACGCAAACACATGCATATATAATTATATATATATGACTTATACAGCTTAGCTAGCCCATGGAGTAAATGCCCTCACTGAACCCTTTTGAAACTACGGGTACCCATTTGCTTCTTTTAGGTCAGTGTCCTATAACATTGGGTTCTCATTTCCTATACATGTGTTGATCAACAACCTTTTGACCCTTGTCTGATCAGCTTAGTGTTTTCCAAGAAGAGAGAGAGAAGCAAACAAAGACGCTATAGAGAAGAGCAAGATTAATTAGAAAGGAGAGACTTGAAAAAGAGCCAAATAAGTTGATATGGGAAGACCACCTTGCTGTGATAAAATTGGAGTGAAGAGAGGACCATGGACTCCAGAAGAAGATATCAAGTTAGTGTCTTATGTTCAGCAACATGGTCCTGGTAATTGGAGGGCTGTTCCTACAAATACAGGTTATATTTCTCTCTAGCTTGTGATTCTTTTTTTTCTTCTTTTTTATTTTTAATTTTTTAAAAAAACATTTGAGTTTGATCTTGTGGCTTGATGGGTTTGTATTGCTCTCATTTGTTTATTCATTGATGAATGCATCATTGAGCTATGTTTAGGAGTACTGAATCATCTGCCTAGATTTGGAATTAAAGTAAATTTAGTTCGAAGTTTGAACTAAATCAAAGGCACCGATTCAGTTCTCCTAAACACAACGTTAGTTTATTTCATTTTCTGAATCTTTTAAATTCACTAAATTTGTCTTTGTTTATATGCTTGGTTTAATTTGTCAGGATTGCATAGATGTAGTAAGAGTTGCAGGCTTAGATGGACTAATTATCTGAGGCCAGGGATTAAAAGGGGTAACTTTACAGATCATGAAGAGAGGATGATAATCAAGCTTCAAGCTCTTCTAGGCAACAAGTAATTAATCCCACTCTCTCTCTCTCTCTCTCTAGATTTAATATTATAAGTGTTGTAACTTTGATTGTTGGATAGTGTTATTCAGACCTAATAGTCTATCCAACCATATCTATCCCTCAGGACAGATTTAATAGAATTCTCGAATAGACTGTTAGGTTTGAGAATCATTATCCTTGATGATTCGGACTTTGGAGGTTCTATATTGTTTCTAATGAATTTAATAATGTGACTATTGTTTTTGTGAAGATGGGCTGCAATAGCTTCTTACCTTCCTGAGAGAACTGACAATGACATTAAAAATTACTGGAATACCCATTTGAAGAAGAAGCTCAAGAAGGTCCAAACAGGGCATGAAGATCAGTACTCCACAGATAGGTACTCATCTCCACACTCAATCTCTCGAGGTCAGTGGGAGAGAAGGCTACAAACTGATATCAAGATGGCCAAACAAGCCCTACATGAGGCCTTGTCTTTGGAGAAACCAAGCTTTGTACCTGAATTGAAGCTCTCTAATGAGTATGATGACACTTTCACTACTAGTACTAGACCAACTCAAGCATCTACCTATGCATCAAGCACTGAGAATATAGCTAAATTACTAAAAGGGTGGATGAAAAATCCACCAAAGTGTGCTCAAACAGACTCCTCAAGTACTCAATGTTCCTTCAACAAATCGATGATCGATTCTACCTCTAGTGAAGGCACTCCAAATGCTAAAAAGAATAGTGGTATTGATAAATCCGAGGCCTTAGAGTCGTTGAGCTCAGCGAATTCTGATGTTTCTAGGTCTGTGTCCCCTGAGGCCGGTCTTTTTCTAGGCGAAAGCAAACCGGATATTGGTGCCCAAGTCCAATTGTCAATGCTTGAGAATTGGTTGCTTGATGAAGTTACTGTGGATGGGAAAGAAGTCTTAAACAACTTATCATTTGATGAAAATGCAGGTTTTTTTTAGAAGGATTCATATTTTGAAGGCTTTGTAGCCCAATTTATATTTTGTTACCTTTTGTTCTAGGCCTTAGATATGAAAAATTACTCTGTTGCTTTGTAGAAATTGAAACTCATTGGTGTGTTAAACAATAAATTGGACATTGTTAAGCTCTATGCATTGAATGGAAATAAATTTCTTTCTTGATCTTCTTACTTTGCTAATTAGTTCTGTCAAATTCCTTGGAGTTTATATCAACATATATATGTTATGAAATGATGCAAGTGATCTCAACTATGGGCTATCTAAATTAATTAAACACTATTTCTTTAACTTGAGCCATTTGAATCAATGTTTAAAACCAAGGTCAGTCCATGCACTTTTGCTGTGATGACCTCGTGGACGGATGTGCCGTGGGCGGGTGCGAGAGACACTGACAAGCTACTACATTGGCGAGTTATGGGTACACAGTCTCACATCGCCTGGATAGAGGAAAGGTGAAGTGCTTTTATGTAAGTGTGTCATCTCCAATTGGTATGAGGCTTTTTGGGGTGAAGCCCATGAGTAAAACCGTGTGAACTCAATCCCAAAGCGGATAATATCATACCATGTGGTGGAGTGGGTCGTTACAAATGGTATCAGAGCTTGACCCGGCCGGAAGTGTGCCGACGGGGAAAACCGTGCGGGTTCAGGCCCAAAGCGGACAATATCATATCATGTGGTGGAGTGAGTTGTTACATTTGCTACTCTCTTTCATCAAGAAATTTTATTACTCCAATTGGTATGATGTCTTTTGGGGTGAAGCCCAAAAGCAAAACCGTGAGGGTTCAGGACCAAAGCGGACAATATCATACCATGTGGTGGAATGGGTCGTTACATTTGCTACTCTCTTTCATCCAAGAAATTTTATTAATTTCTAACAATTATCCAAATCCTACAAAATTTCTAGCAAAATCCATGACAAAATCAAGTTGTTCATCGCCAAAAAAACGCGTATTCTTTAGACAAGCCTCTGCTGTCCAACTGCGTGAATATATACTAGATCAGTTTCTACATAAAATCTATCTACCAAATGATCACCTCTTTATCAAATTAAGTACTTTGAAGGTCTATAGAATGACTTGAATACCACTGGCTCTGATAGCTGTTAAATTAATGTCAGGCCATCAATGACTATGATGGAAATTTTAAAAATTTTCTGATCATATATATGTACTCTTTATTATATTGTACTGAATCTTCTATTCCATTGTTCAGGTTCTTGATTGTATCATTTCAACACCAACCATTTTCAGAAGACAAGCTCATGTGGCTTGGGACGAGACCATTAATAGACACCTCATGTTGTATTTAAGTGAAGCATGTGAATATACTGCAATGGAGTAAACCTCCAGCTAGTGCATTACACACAATAACTTAATTGAAACGTGGAATTCAGTATTGAGGAAGAAGAACATGTGCGACGAAGAAATAAACACGATACAAATCCGATTTCTCTGAGTCATTAGGTACCAAACATATATATCTGCAGCTACATTTATTGAAGGGTAGTGACTCTTGTCAAATGCTTTAAGTGCATGTACCCATTGCATTTATAACCTGATTCTGGATTTATTTTATGGGATTAATGCAGCATTCTTGAGTTGTTCTAATCAGACATTAGGTGCAGACCTTACTATTGCTGTATGAAATTTGTAGTTTACTTAGCAAAAGTACAACCATAAAAACATGCTTTCTAGGTTCAGTTTATGTTATTAGATACAACATTGAGTGAGCAATTCTATACGCCAAGTCACATAATTTTTCTGGGTCACTCTCACGCTTCGAAATTGCTCATGCTCTCACGTTTCGTGCATGCTCTCGCTCTCATTTCCACTTTTTGTGACTTAAATTTTGTCGTTTTCATGCTCCGACTTTCAAATTCGTTCTCGCTCTTTCTTCCCACTTTATGCGACTTAGTGAAATACATCTCTTCATGTGCTAGATAAAACAAAATGCCCAAATTTTTTCCCCTTTAAGCACCTTACTGCATCATTTTTCATATTGAATCAAGCTGCACAATTAGTGAAGAATTAATAGGTCTTTTTTTTTTTTTTTTTTTGATTTGTATATAATAGGAAGAGTAAGAATCCGAAAGCTCAGAATCATATAGGAGTATTTTGTGTGCAACTAGTAAGTTAGTTCTGGAAGGCTAGAAATAAATTTCTTTTTAATGGGGAGCTATAGGATGCTTAGAAGATTGTTGTTTTGTCATGTTCCTCTTTGTGGGAGTTCAAGGAGGGATTGGCTTTAGTGTCATTGCGTTAGTCACGAGGTCCGCTTGTCTCTAGTGCCCGTCCGTGTTTTTCCTCTTCATTGTCTCGCTGGCGGCCTCCTCCTCCAAGTTTGGTTAAGTGTAATGTGGATGCGTCTTTTTCTCATACTCACCAAGTGGGAGGGGGTGGAGTTGTTTTTCAAGATTCTTCTGGTACTATTTTGCAGGCTGTGGTTTTTTGTCCGTTCCTAGCCTCTAGTGCGACTTTATCTGAGGCTTTTTGTCTTCATAAAGCAGTTTTGTGGGCGTTATCTGTCCCTTTTGCTTATGTTTGGTTTGAAACAAACTCCTTAGCTGTGGTTAAGGCTGTTTCGGCTGTTGATCCAGGGCATGTGGACATTCATGTCATTTCCTTTGATATTCAAATGGCTCTTCATTGGTTCACCTCGTCTCATCTTAGCCATATATATAGGCATGCTAATGAGGAGGCCAATGCTCTTGCAGCGCTTTTCCAAAGTCATTTGCATATGGATGTTGCTCTTGAATTCATTCCTCATTATATTCTTCTTTTATGGATTGTATGTCTTAGATTGTGCTGCTCGTTTTTGTTTGTTTGGCGTTGTTTGCAAGGATTAACATACTTCAACATTTGGGGCCATATGATTAATTAGGTCAATAAATTGATATCATACTTCAATGTCCAAGGTTGATCTTACAATCAGCCCTAGTGCATGCCATGGGGCGCGACGAATATATCACGCTATTAGTATGCTCACCGAATAAAAATACAACACTTAATAAAATAGCTTACTTATAAAAAAATGCTGATAATAAAATGATATGCCCGTCCGTGTTTTTCCTCTTCATTGTCTCGCTGGCGGCCTCCTCCTCCAAGTTTGGTTAAGTGTAATGTGGATGCGTCTTTTTCTCATACTCACCAAGTGGGAGGGGGTGGAGTTGTTTTTCAAGATTCTTCTGGTACTATTTTGCAGGCTGTGGTTTTTTGTCCGTTCCCAGCCTCTAGTACGACTTTATCTGAGGCTTTTTGTCTTCATAAAGTAGTTTTGTGGGCGTTATATGTCCCTTTTGCTTATGTTTGGTTTGAAACAGACTCCTTAGCTGTGGTTAAGGCTGTTTCGGCTGTTGATCCAGGGCATGTGGACATTCATGTCATTTCCTTTGATATTCAAATGGCTCTTCATTGGTTCACCTCGTCTCACCTTAGCCATATATGCATGGTAATGAGGAGGCCAATACTCTTGCAGCGCTTTTCCAAAGTCATTTGCATATGGATGTTGCTCTTGAATTCATTCCTCATTATATTCTTCTTTTATGGATTGTATATCTTAGATTGTGCTGCTCGTTTTTGTTTGTTTGGCGTTGTTTGCAAGGATTAAAAAAAAATAAATAAATAAATAAAACTTCAACATTTGGGGCCATATGATTAATTAGGTCAATAAATTGATATCATACTTCAATGTCCAAGGTTGATCTTACAAACAGCCCTAGTGCATGCCATGGGGCGCGACGGATATATCACGCTATTAGTATGCTCACCGAATAAAAATACAACACTTAATAAAATAGCTTACTTATAAAAAATGCTGACAATAAGATGATATGCTGCATTTTTATTGGATGTAAATGTCTGGATTGTCCAATATCTTCAACACGATAGCGGATACAACTAAAGATTCATGTAGAAAATGTTTTATTGTTGGGAGATTAAGTGAAGTATAATATGAAAATTCAATTCTTTCAATAGTTATTAACCCCTCCCCCCCCCCCCCCCCCCGCGCGAGAAAATTCAATTCTTTCAATAGTTATTAACCCCTCCCCCCCCCCCCCCCCCCCCCCCCCAAAAAAAAAAAAAAAAACTGTATATTATATAGTTGAGATTGGCCACTAATTCAAAGTAAAAGAGTATGAAAAATCAGAGCTCACAATATGGTACTAATTGGGTTCACGTGGAAGCAATCAAACAACTAGTGATATCAATTCAATGTCAGAGGCACATTGTGTGATAAGAAATGGAAAAATAATATATATATATATATATATATATATATATATATATATATATATCTTCTTATAATTTAGGCACATAGCTGCATTTTATTCCTGTTAATGATGGACCTCCTCTTATTGCATGCTCCTGTGGTGCATATACATTCTTATTAGTTGCACTGCCAAATGCAAAAGCCCTAAACCACAAACAGTTATTGGGTAATCTCGGGTTCCGATCATATAGTACCCGGCCAATGACAAATTATATTTTTTTATTATCGAAGAAAATGAGAATTCTTTCATTTGAGTACCACAACCTTTCTATACTACATCAGAGCTCATCTCGTAATAAAGTTTTTTCTCACAACAACGGAACTACATAAATTTGTTAATTGCATACATAACTGCATATGGATCGAGTAGCTTTAAAGAATTTGTGATAAATGAATTATTAAATCATCACTCTACTCTTCTTGTTGGTATTTGCTTGATGATTTGTATATATTTGACTACTTTTCTTGTATTCAACAAGTTGTGCAATTATTATGAACAGAGGGAACCCGGAATCAATGTGTTGAGAGTTTTCGTAAATTGACAAAATATTATTGGCGATTTGATGGGTATTAGTTGAAATTATATTCGTTGAAATGCCAATAATTGCTTTAATAAACTCTTCTTTTTTTATTTATAATATTTGACATAAAATGTGACAAGTTTCCCGTTGGAATTGTGAGAAACTTTCGGTCATTAAAAGCATCATATTTAAAGTTTATAAAAAGAGTCAAGGACATTAGGATGATTAATTACTTGTCAATGAACTGAATTTCTATATCATGCCGCAAAAGTTTAGCTCTAATTTATGTTAGGCGTGGAGTGAATGTTGTTATATACCCAAATAAATAAATTCTTCTTCTTCTTCTTTTTAAATTTTTTCTTTTTTTTTTAAGGTAAATAATATAATGG